GGCACGTTCATGTACTAGTACACGCTCTGAACGCAGTTTCCACAATACCCTAAACCTTAACCCTTGTCGCCCTTAAACCCGTAAGCCCAATAAAACCCTAAAACCATAAACCCTTACAACCCTAGAACGCTGGGGCCCTTCAAGCCCTACAAACCCCGAACCCCTAAGAAAGGGGGCCGGATTAAAGAGAATAGGGCTTTCGGGGCTATTTTCCTATATTCATAAAGGGACACTCAGGGAATACTATTAGCAATTATTCCCCTAAACCCTCAACCCTCAACCCTAAACCCTAAACCCTGAACCCTAAACCCTAAACCCTAAACCCTAAACCCTAAGCCCTCTATTTCGAACAGTCAATGGCCTGGTTGGGCAGCAAGGTGATGGCTGCCAGCCCCGAGATCACAAGGCAGGCCGCCACCGGCAAGGCCTCAGTTGTTCATTTTAAGGGTCGGCCAAAGGCTGCTTTTAGGGTTTAGGGTTTAGGGTTCAGGGTTTAGGGTTTAGGAGAATATTGCAGGGGGTGCTTGCTCCGATGATGGCTATGTCCCAAGAACCTGACCCGTGAAAGCGAGGGCTTGGGGTTGCCTGAATTTGGAGTGAAGACAACGGCGTCTAGGCTGCGAGCTACGCAGCTAATTACGGCCGATACTCTAGAACTACTGGTTCGAATCCAGCCTGTTGGGTTCAGGGATTATGGGACCCTAAACCCTAAACCCTAAACTCTAAACCCTAAACCCTAAACTTAGGGCTTAGTGTCAATTGGGGTTTATAGGGCTTCGGGGTTTAGAGGGGTTCCGGGTTTGCGCGCCAAGAAGCAACTCGGAGGGAAAATGGGAGCTCCGTCCGCAGGGCGGGAGCCTCCTCAAGCAGAAAAAGCCCCCAGAACAAACATGTTCTATCCGTATAATGCAAGTGATAAACACATATTCAGGTGTATACACATATATATATATATACGTACATATGTTATGTATGTATGAGATATATATATATATATGTCGACAGAACACCCAAAATCTTGGGGGTTCAGGGTCTGCGGTTCTAGGGTTTGGGGTGTAGGGGTTCAAGGTTTAGGGTTTAGGGTTCTTCGGGATTTTAGGGTTTTGGGGTGCAAGGGAACCGGGTTTAGGGCATGCATCAGGTCGGTCAGTTCGCACCAATCTGGCAGCTTCAGGGCCGCCTAGGGTTTCGGGTTTAGGGTTTAAGGTTTAGAGTTTAGGATCGCCAACGAAAGGGAACTTAACCTAACCAGCGCCGCGGCCAGGGTACATCGCGGACGAAGCAGGTCTTTCCGTGCTGCCCCCCCAAACCCTAAGCCCTAAACCCTAAAATCAAACGTCCAGACGCCTTTGAGCTCTACACAGCCCGGAAAAACCATGCCGACCCAGCCCTCGACCTGTGAACCCTGCACTCCGCACAAAGGGCTTCGGGTTTGGGTTTAGGATTTAGGGACTCCCAATCCCATAAACCTCCCCTCCCCCCCCTACCCACAACAAATCTAGAAAACTCTCAACGCTGGGCCCACATGCAGCCTTTAAGTGACCTTTTCTATCCCTTAGTATCCTTAGATGAAGCCTCACCCTAAAACCCTAAACCCTAAACCCTAAACCCTAGGTAACCTACCTGGGAACTCCCTTTGAATCTGAGGAGGGGGAGCGAAGTCGTCCTGCCCGGCAGAAACCTCTTCGTCCGTCGCCTCTTCAACGCAGAGATACTCCTGCGAGCACATCAGGCACATTGAGCTGGATACCCAAGGGGTCGTGAGTTTGGGGAACGCTTACCCCAACCATAATATTCATTCCTATTATAGAAATCCTACCTTCTACCATGTAGGTACTTAGGACCTTTTGGGATAGGCGGGTTTCCCAAATACGAATCATGCTGCGTAACAAGGGCGTGTGATATGCAGGTGGAGGAAGTTTGACGTCCTTCCCACTTGGTCGCCCGGTAACCACATTGTAATAAGGGCGCCCATTCGGGTTGGCTACTTTATAAGGGAAGCAGAACCCCCCCCCCCCCCCCCCCCCCCCCCCCGAAAAAACAAAAAAAAAGAGTAAAGGGTACCACTGGGCTCCCAAGCTACCAAGGATACAACCAACAGAGGAGTAAGCTAATGTGTGCAGGTTTTGCGGCGAGGTCGCCTTCTGTATGACCCCCAAACTTCCAAACCCCTAGCTTGTATGGAGGATTATCTCAAATTATGCTACCAGGACAGAGCCCTGTTCCCAGAGCGAACCTATCTTACTCGACCCTAAACCCTAGACCCTAAACCCTAAACCCTCATTTGCGGGTTTCGGGTGTAGGGTTTATAGGAACCCTTCACCTTCCTAGGAAGGACTAGATCCACTGCCAAATCCTACGAAATGAATGTCGCGTCAGGACGAAGCCTTGCGCCTGGGCACTGATCCGGGCTGGGGTTTAGGGCTTAGGATTTGGCCGTTGGGCGATTCTGGGTTTTTTTGGGGTTTCTGTGGGTTTTGGGGGGTTTAGGGTTTAGATGGTTAAACCCTGCACCCTCTGTCACCCTAAGTCAGGGTCCCCGGGGTTTAGAGTTTAGGGCTTAGGGCGTAGGGGTTTAGGGTTTAGGGTTAAGGGTTTAGGGTTAAGGGTTTAGGGTTTAGGGTTTAGGGTTAAGGGTTTAGGGTTCAGGGTTTTGAGCTTAGGGTTTAGGGTTTAGGGTTTTTCAGCCGGGCCTGGGGCTTGGACTTGGGGCTTTGGAGGCCCAAGGTATTCATCTGCCTTGCTTGTCACCCAGACCCCCAAGGCCCCAATCTTAGACCTGCCTTAGTTGTCCAGTAGCCTAGAAAACTAAAGGCTAAGCTTGGAGGTTATATAGGAAGTGTAATATCCCAATTTGCCTTAGAAACCCTAAATCCTAAACCCTAAACCCTAAAAACCCTAAACCCTAAACCCCAAACCCTAAATTTCTACTACTAAGCTGCGCTTCACAACCCCTTGAAATGAAGTCCCCAAGGCCTCAGCACTCTGGAGCAAGTTGAGCCCTAAAACCTAGACCCTAAACCCTAAACCCTAAACCCAAGATTTAACAGCATCTGTCTTCTGGGCGCCTGAGTCTCAGCGGTCGGCATTTTGATGTCAGACCTGCCCAAGTGACTTGCTTGTTCTTACTAGGGAACAACATGCCCCTAAACCGGTTTAGGGTTTAGGGTTTAGGGTTTAGGGTTTAGGGTTTAGGGTTTAGGGTTTAGGGTTTAGGGTTTAGAGGGTACCCTAATTCCCCCCCGCCCCCCCCTTTATGTAAAGCTTTAAGGTGGAGGGAAAGAGGTACCCTATATCTCCCTCTACATATACCCCTGAAGGGATTATGTACGGTACCCAATTCCCCCATTCCCTGCCAAGAACCTGCAAGAAACAGTGTGGGTGCCAAAGCCCAAGCATTCAAGATCATACCTGGATCTCAAGTCGTTGAATACCTACTCTCGGCCACTTGAACCCTAAAGACTCCGGTGGTGGATCTGGGGGAGGCCCTCGAACACTAAAATTCTATGGGGAAAAATATATAGTATAGGGACCTCGAACAGAACTTGATAGCACAATCCAAAGCAGGCTGAATAGCCCTAAGACCCTAAACCCTCAGAAGCCCTAAAACCTAAACCCTCAAATCCTAAATCCCGAACCCCTAGAAAATGAAAAGTGTCTTTGAGGTTGAGGATGTTAACGCCTAATTCAGGCCATTCAAGGGGGGAACCTGGGAGGGGGGGGGGGGGTAGTATAGTAGGGGCACCAATGAGAACAGGGTTTGGGGTTTCTAACCCCTAAACCCTAAACCCTAAACCCATGCTTCAGACAAGTGGCTTTGGACTTCTGTCGGCCTCTGCGATCCCCTCCCAATCTGCCGCAGTCTTGAGCCAGAATGGGACCAAGGATTAGCGACAGTGAGGTGTCGGCGATGTGGGGTTTAGCTTACCACTTTAACTTGCCGAGGGCCTTAGGCACCATACTCATGTGGTGCTCCTCGACTAGCTTGTCAAACTTGGTGAGGCAGGCAGGTGTCGGTTTTAAACCCCAGGAAATCCTAAACTCCACACCTATAGGGCCTCGGGCAGAGCTTGGTCGGATAGAAGCGCGTCGGGAAGTTGGTGCTCTTGTTTGGTTCATCACGGAAGCCGTGGGGGGGGGGGGGGGGGATGCCAGGGCTATTTCAGGGTAATTCCTTAGCCAATTTTGGGCCAGAGCATAACCCAGACATAGTGCTCGAGCACTCTGAACAGCAAGTATTTCTTGAAAACATACTAGACAACCAAGACTAAGCCTTAGCCAATTTTGGGCCAGAGCATAACCCAGACATAGTGCTCGAGCACTCTGAACAGCAAGTATTTCTTGAAAACATACTAGACAACCAAGACTAAGCCCGAAACAAGCCTTTTGTTGAACTTGTTTCGGGTGTATTTCGGGCTTGTTATGAGGCTATGTCTGGCTTAGTTTCCTTCTGCTATTTCGGCCCCCTTTTTGACCCAATTATTCCTGCGTTGTTTTGGACAACCGTCAGGCTTGCAGCCTTGAAAATAAGCACGGCATCCCTCCCCTCCTGCATACCCACCCCCCCCCCCTCCCCCCCCGGGGATGCCATGAGTTCATGTGGCTCTTCAGGTTTAGGGTTTAGGGCTTAGGGTATAGGGTTTAGGGTGTAGGCTTTCAGATCCTGAGGAACTAAGCTAACCCAGAAATTGAAATCATAGACCCTGCACTGCTTAGGCCGGTCATAAACCGTAAGCCCTACACCCTAAACCCTGTACGAGTCATTTAGTCCCCAAGGACTCCGGACCCTACAACCCTAAACCCTAAACCCTAAACCCCAAACCCCAAACCCCAAACCCCAAACCCTAAACCCTAAACCCTAAACCCCAAATCCCAAACCCTGAACTGCGATGGGGTGTGAGCTGCCGGCTGAAAAGAGACCCTAAAGCCTAAACTACATAAGTTTAGGGTCTAGGGTTTAGGGTTTAGGGTTTAGGGTTTAGGGTTTAGGGTTTAGGGATACCTGGAGAACCCCAAACCTTGCTGTGTCGGTTTCCTTACGATCACCATACAAGGTTGGATTTAAATTAAGGCGTAGAGCTTGGGGCGACCTCCACGCCCGAAACCTTAATACCATGGGATCCACTTTGCCTCAACCCCTTACAGGCCTTAAGGCCCTTGGCCCATCGGCGCTTGTATTTTGGTTGAGTAGGGTTCCAGGTGAGCCATTGCCGCCCCTCCGCTACCCCCCCCCCTCCCCCCCCCAAGTCCTAAACACCAAAACCCTAAGCCCCAAACCCTAAACCCCAAAACCTCACAACACACCACTCGGGTCTGAGTCAGGTCTTAGGGCTTAGGATTTCGGATTTAGGATTGCAAAGCCATCTGAGGGAAAAAAGCGGAACGCCCCTAAACCCTAAACCCTAAACCCTAAACCCTAAACCCTAAACCCTAAACCCTAAACCCTAAACACCTAAACCCTAAACTTCCAAACACAAGGACCAGGAGCTAGGATCGATTTGCAAGGCTGAGGCTGTCGGGCCCCGAGGCGCGGACGCGCGTACCGGCCGTTGAGAAATTCGTCCTGGCAAAGGTTTAGGGTTTAGGGTTTAGGGTTCAGGGTTCACGGTTCAGGGTTTCATGTAGAAGCCAGTTCGCAAATTAGAACCACCTATATGCTAGAAAGCCCCAAGCCCCGAGCGCCAAACCCCTTTGATTTAGGGTTTAGGGTTTAGGGTTTAGGGTTTAGGGTTTAGGGTGATCCCTAATCTCTAATCGAACACACCTTACAAAAGCTCTGAGCCCCGAAAACCCTTGCTCCAGGGGTTGTACCTCGGACCCTTAAGGTTGTACCCTTGGGTTTTGGGGACCCTTTTGAGAGATCCTTCAGGTGGTACAAGGGCCATAGTAGGAGTTTGTTGGGGGAACGTTTAGGGGTACAACCTTGAAACCCTAAACCCTGAACCCTAAACCCTAAACCCTGAGGGTTCATAGGGTTTAGGTTTAGCCTTGAAGGTTTGGGGTTTAGGATGTAGGGCAACAATAATCCTGAAGACTCTATTGAAGTTCCTTTCGGGTGATACACTATAACCCTCAATGGAAGCAACAACAGAACAGGCCCCAAAGGGAACCACATTGAAGTCCTTAGGATGACGGCAAGCTTCATTGGAACGTCGGCTTTTGAGGGTTTCGGGTTTAGGGTTTGGGGTTGAGGGTGTACAGGGTGGGGCCCCCTAGTTATAAGTAGAGTTATAAGGGCCGTAAATTGGGTTATAAGGACCCTAAGTTAGGTTATAAGTCCCTTAACTACAGTTAGTATAGTAAGGGGGCCCCACCCTGTAGGGTTTAGGGTTGAGGCTCGGCTCCTCGCCGGCGAAGCCGGACACGCACAGCTCCTGCCATCAAGCGGAGAACCCAAAGACTCCAATATCCCTTGCTGAAGGAATATTACTTAAGCCACATTAGGGAAATTTGGGGTCCTTATTTATGAGGGAGTCCTACTATTTTGGGGTCTTTTTTAGGGGTTCCCTACTTTCGTAAACCAGACAAGGAACCCTCTTATACTCTAAGGAAGATTCCTTAATTAAGGGATATTGGGGTCTCTGAGAACTCAGGGCCTTGGAAGGAGTTTAGGATTCAGGTTGGGCTGGGATGTTCGCCCTTCTACTACAAGGTGCGCGGCGTGTTCACGCCCCTACAACGGGAAGCATGTTCTGGGGAAGGGGGGTTCAGGAAACACTGGCAGGCGTGGGTTATTCATGAAGTAGAGTCATTTTTGTGATTTGGAGGAGGGCCCTCTCACACTACTGGGTAGTTTTGTAAGATAGGAGTTTGATGGCAGCAACAGGATTATGGCAGGGCGGCTTGCGGAGGGGCATGTCCGGAAGTCGTCAGGGCAGTGGCTTTTTTTTTGTCGGTGGCTGCAAGCGTTCCCCCTGCTTGCGAAACCTGGAGCTCATGCGCCGGAGCACAGATTCAGTGCCGGGCCACATTCTTGCACAGTGTGTTGTACAAAGAAGCGAAAACGCGGTAAATACCAGTGTTTTGTGCATCGTCGCAACTGGCATGGACGCTTGTGACAACGTGTCCTGTTCCACATTCTTGCACAGTGTGTTGTACAAAGAAGCGAAAACGCGGTAAATACCAGTGTTTTGTGCATCGTCGCAACTGGCATGGACGCTTGTGACAACCTGTCCTGTTCCACATCCTTGCACAGTGTGTTGTACAAAGGAGCGAAAACGCGGTAAATACCAGTGTTTTGTGCATGGACGCAACATGAATGACGTTCTTATCCCCTCCCAAACCCGCAAGGAAAGAGGAAATGCCTGAGCAAGAGCTGAAAAACGTAGGGGCGGGAACGCGCCGCGTTCCTACTACAAGTCCTTAATTTAAAAAAGATTATAGTACCCCTATTATGATCCGGAAAAGCCCATGGTTCAGGGTTTAGGAGTTAGGGTTCAGGGTTTAGGGATTGAGGTCTTTAGGGGGTCTCACATGGTTTAGGGTTTCGGGTCTCAGGGCTTAGGGGGCTTTGGCCCAAAACCCTAAACCCTAAACCCTAAACCCTTAGGTCCCGACCCTTGTGCAGATTCACCCTTCCCACTGCATCGTGCTGGCCTGGCACACCGGCATCGCCGGCATGACCTGCACAGGGCATTCTTGGGGTCCCTGCCTAAAAACCCTAAACCCTAAACCCTAAACCCTAAACCCTAAGTCCTACTTTTTGGGGGCGGGGGTCTATATTCGGGGCCCCTTATTTTCGTAAACTCCCAAGGGGTTTGGGGAACTCAGCTTGGCATGTGGTAGCTCTCTGAAGAAGAACATGCTCAGCGCCCCTTGAAACCCTGCACCTGTAAGCCCGGAATCCAAAACCTCATCACATCATAGCTGGCTTTCGAGAACCTGGCACTAGGGTTTAGGGTTTAGGGTTTAGGGTTTAGGGATTAGCCTAGGCTGGCCCTTAAAACCCTCTGACAAATATTCCTGCATGAGATGATCCTCTTGAACCCAAAAAGGGAAAACAAACAAATATCCCAATATCCCCAGGGCCTGCCTAGCCAGCCAAGAAGGACCGACACCATAAACCGTAGAACTCCCACACTTCGGAATTATTCGCTGCCAAGTTCTACCGCTAAACGTCAGAAAACCTAAATCCTTGAGCCCGAAACCCCTGTACCAACGCCCTGCAGAGCAGATTAGGGTTTGGGTTTAGGGCTTAGGGCTTAGGGCTTAGTGCTTAGGGCTTAGGGCTTAGGGCTTAGGGCTTAGGGCTTAGGGTTTAGGGCTTAGGGCTTAGAGGATTCTGACACGGAGCCTGTGGCGGAGCAGGTGCCGGGGCATTGCCTGTCTTTGGAGAAACAGAGCGCAGCCCCCACCGACCCAAACACGCTTACCTCCTCCACCCACCAACCCAAAACAGAACCTCTCCAAAGTTTAGGGTTTAGGGTTTAGGGTTTAGGTTTAGGGTTTAGGGTTTAGGGTTTAGGGAAACTGAATGAAACCAGTGTGTGAGAGAATAAACCTGTGCGCATATGTCATGTGCATGTGTAGGTACATGTGTAGGTATATGTGTATGTGTATACGTATGCATGTAGGTGCATGTCTATCTGCCAGAATATATGTTCATGAATGCGTATGTGTGTGTGTGTGTGTGTATGTGTCTTGTGTGTATGGAGGTTAAAATTCAGATGACGAGGTTTAGAAAAGACACGAGGTTGACAACAAAGGGGCGAGGTTTAACAACACAAAGAGATGCCGTTTGTTTTTGCATGCATGCATGCATGCATGTATGAATGTATGCACACACACAAATCTGTGTATATATATATATATGGAGATTCACTTCGCACAGAACTCTTTTGCTGTGCCAGGGGTTGGTCACTTGAACTGCGTCTCTGAATTGACCGATTTTGGTCGAGTAATAGAGATGCAGTCTGGTACAAAGATTTCACATGTCTCAAATCCTTTCCTCCAGCCCGGGCAGCCCGGCTAGACACAATGCAACTCCGGGCATACTCAAACAGAGGGATTTGGACAAAGAATGAATCCTTATCCCCTATCCAGCAACCCAATGCCACGCAAGCGTGCGAATGGGAGGGCCGGGCCGGGATGAACAAAAACTGCGGAGATAGAGATGCGGCACCGCAACTACAAACACTCCGCTCATCTACATATACGCAAATGCAGCTATTCATGGAGATTCACTTCGCACAGAACTCTTTTGCTGTGCCAGGGGTTGGTCACTTGAACTGCGTCTCTGAATTGACCGATTTTGGTCGAGGAATAGAGATGCAGTCTGGTACAAAGATTTCACATGTCTCAAATCCTTTCCTCCAGCCCGGGCAGCCCGGCTAGACACAATGCAACTCCGGGCATACTCAAACAGAGGGATTTGGACAAAGAATGAATCCTTATCCACGGACCCCGAAATTTGGCCTAGAGGCCGAGATTCAGCTTAAGGGCCTCTGCTGCAGCAGCGGCCAAACCCAGCTGCTTGGGTGACAGCTGCAGGAAACGAACTGTGGCAATCGCATCGGCCAGATAGATTCTGGCTGAAGAAGAGCTGGCCCAACGGCCACGCAACAAACACTTTTCCATGCTACCATGCAGCAGGAAGGCATACGTGGCACCGCCCCTACGCAAGGAGTACGGCGTGACGTGAAAATCAAGATCAAAAGCACGACACAAAGCATGAAAGACTTTTCGGAAGTGAGCTGCTCCGTCAGGCAAGAGCAGGCCGGAGGATTCACAAACAACGCACCGCAGCGCTGCATTAGCCAAAACGCTCTCCACAACAACCATCTCCTGGTTGCCCGAGCGCTTAGACGTTTTTGTGGAAGGCAAACAAAGGACAGCCCGACCTTTGATGAAAGAAATGTGCTGCATCCTGACCTGCAACAGTTCGCCGGTGCGCAACATGGCATCAAAACCCACCAACAAAGCAGCAGCTATTGCCCTATAGCCACCTGCCCACGCTAATCCCGCGAAACCTGCCAGCAAGTGCGGATTAATGGGGACTGCTCGCTGAGGCGGCTCAATGCGATGCCAAACTTTGCACAGCTTCCATGAGTATAGTGCAGTCGCTTTCTGATTGACGGCATGAAAAACTGCAATCCGGCCAACGTGTCATTGCTGAGCGATTTATGTTCGCCTTCGGAAAAGACGTGCTCTAGAAACATTGCCACTGCTGCATCCACTTGCTCCAAGACGCGTGGCCCACATTGATGCAACTTCCAAAACTCCAGCAGAACCGCGACTGCAGAGGCGTAGCGACGCCGCATTTGGGAACTAACTAGCGAATCTTTCAGCGTGCAGCCTTGACGTTGCGCTTGACGCGCTTTCTTGAGGGGGTCCTGCTTAACCATCGTGAGGGCAGGTCTGCAGGATTGTCCGCGCTGTGGACATACCCAAATGCCGGCACCACTCCTGCAGTCAACAAAAGTGCATTCAGCTTTCGCAGGACAAACTGGAGTTTACGGGAGCTTGTGCGGCCCTTAGCTAAAATACTGCAGCAAACCTGACTGTCTACCAGGTGTAGGCAGCGAACCCGCAGGTTCTGCACTTTCCTCAGTCGCCACCGAAAACAATTCAGCACTGCAGAAAGCTCAAGTTGGTTAATGTGAGCGTGCGTGTTCTTCCAGGGGTAACCCTGCACTACCGCCCAGCGCCAGTAGCGAGCCTGCAGCCCGCTCCTGGGCCACGCTTTAGACCGGAACGGAATGCCCAGTTCAACCCTCACGTCTGCGCCAGACTTATCAGCCCGTTTGAGGTATTGCAGCACAAGCCGTTTGCTGTCTTCACTCTCTGGTGGCGAACGGACAAAACTTGGCTCACTAACCCAGCCAGCCGGAGCAGTACCGGGCCAGTGCAAAGTTTCAGGTTTCCAAGTGAGTTTTGAAGCTGCGTATTGCTGCAGAACTGGAAACAAAAGCAAGGCTAGAGTTGGCACATGAAACGTTTTGCCTAACATGCAACACGCTTGAACGAAAAATTCCTGCTGAGAGAGTTTATCGCTAAGCCCAGTTGTCACATAACCCTCAGGGAACCCCATGAGCCGTTCCCTTTCACAGACTGAAGGAACCCTCAGCCCCGACACAGGGTCCTGAACAAGGCACGTGGTTTCAAACTGCTGGACTGGGAACACGTGCAAGTGAGCTCTCCAACGATTGATGGCTTCAGCTGAAGCATTTTGCACAATGGCGTGTTTTGGGGGGTGAACAGAAACATGAGCTTGCGAAAGTGTCGGCAGCAAGGTGTTGTCTTGCTGCAGCCACACGCTGCCTTGCTCAACCCAGTGCTGTGGACCCCTTCTAAAGCAAGGCGGCCTGACGCGCCTCATGAGGTCGTCCTCATCGTACGGGGCAATGGCATCACGAGATGTCCACGCCCAGGAACACCAGTAAAGGCGAGGTCTCTCGCAGTAGGAAAACCAAGAAGCGCATATGTGGAATGGCTTGACCTGCAGGGTGGCATTGAAGCTTCTGACAATGTCTTCAGGTAGGTCACCCAGGTTTTCAACAAACCAATGGACCGGTTTAGATTGCGCTTCTCGCGCATTTTTGATTACACGCAACCCCTCGTGGAACAGCTGCAATTTGACAGCATCAGCCCGCTGATCCTTGCTGCCCGCAACGAGGCTTTGACAAGGACTGCTGACACCCACTAACACAAAGTCATACTCGTAGCCCGAAGACGTGAATACCTGTTCTAGCAAGTTGGAGGTAAGGTGCTCCACCGGACCTAGCTCCAGCACACCCGGCCAGCGCTTCCTCACCAGCTTCTTGCTGTCGGCATCCCGCTCTGCAGCTGCATATCCTATCACCAGAACAGGCAATTGCGTTAACGCCACCATGAGTGCGCCGATGCCATCAAAGAGTGATATCACGAATACTCTAGGCGCCCCGGAGGAGACTTGCCTACCATGCTGCATGGAACCCAATGGGTGAAAAGCATGCGTCCCATCGCGAGAGGCCGAGTCCAGTGCCTGCTGACCAGCCTCCGTTAATCCTGCACTGCGACAGTGACCACCGCCTTCCATAGATGCATCACTCACAGTCACCATATCAGAGATAGGGGCCCGGAGGTCAGAAAACGCTAAGGGCAGCAAGCTTAAGGCAATGAGAACTTCGTCTGCATCCTTCTGTCGCAGCCACGCCAGCCGCTGCAGAGATCCGTGCTCCCACACCCGGTTAAGTACACCTAGGAGCGGCCTCCTAAACTCGAAAATGCGTACAAGGCGTCCCAGTAGCATTAACCAAACCCGGCTGCCGAGGCGCTGACGCCCCAAGACATACCGAGCAAAGGCTAGGATTTCCAGCATCTTACTTGCAGTAACGCCTACTCGGCCAACGACTCCGTCAACCGAGCCGCCCATGCGTTCGACTTTTGTTGCTCTCTGCACAGTTTTGTCAGTAGCAATTTGCACGCCTGCCAAGCTGTACGCGCGCCGTTGTTGGAGTTGAAAATCCGCAGGACTCCCCTCTGGAGGCGCTGTCTCCGGCTCGAATATCTCCACCGCGTCGAAATCGTCCAGATAGTACTGGTACCAGGACTGCGCCTGCAGGGGCCAAGGGCGGTCACGTCTCCACTCAAAATCAGGCGGGAGGTCAGCCCCACAGGCTGGGTTCAGTCCGAGTTGTCTATGCAGATGTTGAAACAATGGAACGGCGTTGACCCAACCCATGGGAATAACTGCCGCACAGACATGCGTTTTGCCTGTTCCCGCAAGGCCTAAAAGCTCACATGGCACGGGCCAATGAAACGTCATGTATTTGCCCCATCCTGACGGGAGCTGCCACGCGTAGAAGGCACCCTTCTGATCTTCCGATGACCAGAGCAGGACTTCCCCGCTCTGCAGCACAATGTTAGACCAGGTTGGAGCGCCTGCCAGAGTCGCCACTTCCTCGTGAAGAGGTCTTTGATATGTGTTCCCGGGAACCATGTTCATAATGAAACGGGTTACCCTACAGAACCCCTCGCTTGGCTCGCCCTTCTTCAGGACTGCGAATGCACCATTTAAAACAGGCCTCCCGTTAACATGAAGAATGTCTGCTTTGTCGATGGCCCTGAGAATACCCAGCTGATGCATGTGCTGGGCTACTCGGCACCACTCTTCATAGCTGCACTGAATACGGGCTTTGGGGATTTTTGAGGGCCAGCGTTCACAGGGAAGAAGTGCCTCTTCCGGTTTTGACAGCCAGTCCTGAACTACCCCCGTCGCAAAATCAACAGCGAGCAGGGACCCAGCAACCCCTGTTCTAGGCAAACCAGGCACTAGCTTCCCCAAAACAAGAGGCAAGGCAACCGACACCTCCTCGTTGTCATAGCTGATGCGCCGGGATTTAATCAACTCCCCGAAGTTTGGCAATGTGACCTGCAGGGCAGGCGAAGAGCAGAAGTGCGCTATTGCTTCACGCATGGCGGTTAAAGCTTTGGTTTGCCCTATTGTTGCTGTCACGTGTGGCCGTAGCCGACAGGGCTGCCAGCCACTGAATTCGCCATTCAAAGAGAAGCAGACAATCCACTCCCAAACCTCGCAACAAACTCTGATGGCCCGATCCTTCTTTTGCTGGCGTCGTTTGGGTCCTTTCAGCCACGCAGCTACTGACTCCCACAATGTGAGTTTAGGGTATGTGCCCTGCAACAGGCACTGCAAGCTACTCAGGTTACTCAAGGAAGGCAAGGGTAGAGGCAGTAGGTCGCGGTTCCTCTCCCTCACTTCCGGTGGCACAGCAACTGACGATAAACTCTTTCTGGCGAGAACGCCCACACCTTTTGGGCATGACCTGAGTGCTTCAAAAAGCCAAAGTGTCAACTCTAGCAGCGTGGCTGTCTGTTGCGACTCACCGCGAAACGTCTCACGCCAGTGAGAGATTGACAGGGGCAGCGGCTTGGAAGGCATCCCGGACATTGGCGCCACACTAGGCGAGGAACCTGTGCTCATGGCAGGCTGACCATCATTGACAAAACCACCCTGCAGCACCGCCGCACCGGCACCTGGCAATCCCTGAATGACCAGGCTGGTGCTCTGGACGCTTGAAGGGTTTCCCGCAAAATGCGGGGTGTGAGTTACAGATCGTCCATGTCCACGCTGAGTGGACTGTCCTCCCTGCTTTTGCCCCCCTGTCGGTGTTGCTGGAAGACTCGTTTCTTCCAGTTGCGGCGTGACTCCCCTTGCTTGCGAGGAGTTTCCTTTTTCCATGCGCTCATCCGACCGGCAGGGGCTTCTGTTCCAGCTGGAGCCGGAAGTGCGAGCTGACCAGGCTGCCTGTGCTCCTTTCCGGGATTGTGGCTCTGGCCTAACCGCCCCGGTCCATTGGCAGTCTTGGTCCCTTGCGCATACGTGACTTGCCGGTGAGTGTCGTTGAGTTCCTGGCCCTGTTCGTTGCGCTGGCGACGGGCAGGAGGCGGAGGCCTCACCCGAGGAAACTTGCTGACGGTCACTTGCAGGTCTTCCTCTGCTTTGGTGCTGCTGGTGCTCCTGGCTGCTGCCAGGTTGTCGGACCCTTGATGCATGGCTGGGTCGCGATAAGGAGGGGTCGGGTCGGTCCTCTCCCCGCGGAGTCCCTAGCGCGACTTGCGCAGGGCCTCGTCCAGCTTGGCTTCACGGATCCTTATATTACGTACCCATTCCTCCTCCTCCACTGTTGTGCCATGGTGGATAGGATCAATGGGAATCAGCTCTAGATACTTGGCCGCACTCCATGAGGCATCGCGAGTTGCCATAAGCTTTGCGCTTTGCCTTGAATCGCTGCATCAAGAAATCGCCTAACGTGGCCGTCTCCCCGCGGACCAGCTGGTCAAGCATCTCTGCCAAGCTCCTAAGCTCCCGGTAGTCACTGTCAGACAGGGTCTGTCCTGGGTACGTCGGAGCAACAACCGAAAGCAGATAACGTACTGCGAGCGGGCGCAAGGGATCATCGGACGCCTCCCCAAATGCTTGTCCTAACTGCTCTGCGAAGTTCTGCATGCCGGCAACCAGAAGTTTGCCAGGCTGCAGCTTGGCCAGCGTCCTAAGCTTCTGGCGTCGACTATGCAGGCCTGCGAAGATTTCTGAGTCCTCGTCGGCTTCCTCACCTTCATCTCCCGCCTCCTCATCCGTTGCAGTTTCCTCCCGCTTCAAGGCCTTGCGCAAACTTGCAGCTAAACCGCTAGTTCTAGGCTTCTTGGCTGGGGGCTTCTTGGCGGCAGCCGACGCTGCTTTTTCAGCAAGGGCCGTTGCAGTGTCCTGGCTTCTCTTACGCTCCTGGGCGCTATCCTTGTGCCCCAGCTGCTGGCGCAA